TCAGCCCCTCCCAAATTTTGGACAAGCGGCTTCACTTCTCCCTGGTTTTGGCTTCGCATCCGCTTCATCGATCAAACATAATATTAAACAGTCCCGGAAACGCTTAGCATCCCCTGAGGCACAAAAAGATCAGGACTACGAAGCATGGTTCAAGCCACCTGTAGACTCCCCTTTAGTTGGCTTCCAAACTGCCGGCCTTGCATCTTCTTCCGTGACCTCTCCGCCAATTGGTTTTGTGAGTCTCAGATCCAAGTCAACGCTCGCTCCCTCTGCCACAGCTCTTGCGAAGGCACGAGAGAGGCTGAAGGACATCTGGGATGAGGATCCGACAGATACAGAGAATATTGACCCATCCGGAAAGCCCAACGAGCAATTGCCAAAACCTACACTGTCTGCTGTGCAACCCACATTCCAGCGCCCGGCTCTCCAGTCCTTGAGTAATGGCGGCTCTCAGACCCCCGGTACCCCATCTCCGGCTGGGTTTTCGCGTCCCGCAATACCAGCGACTGATCAACTCAAAGTGAAGCAAAAGCCCTTCCGGTCCCCCTTGATCAGAAGTACTCCAGGAGCAGGCTTCGTCGGCTCACCACTGAACCCAAGGTCTGGTTTCTCGTCGGCCGTGAATGTACCCCAGCGTGCACCAACTTCAATGACGCCTTCAACTCCCCTTCGACCTACAATTCTTCCCTCAAGACCGATGGCTTTACAAACGCCAACCCGTGCCCCCGCGGGCTCAAGCACTTCTCGTAGTACCCCTGCTCCTTTTATCACACCATTTAAAGCCGGTATGCGTCCAGGGGAACCTGGATGGGTAAAGCTCCAAGAATCGATGCGAAAGGGAGCACCACAAAGCGTACCTCGCAGCCCGGCCATGTCTGCGTCGCGCCAACTCAATCCTTCCCATCAACTTGTTGCCAAACAGTTCAAGACCTTCTTCGACTTACGTGAGTTCTAGCGCAGCCATCCTTCAGAATGCTTGAGCATAACCCAACGGCAGGTCCTCCCCCTAACCGGAAAACCCTTGCCACGTCTGGTTTCCGACCACAACAGTTTACCCAAGAAGACTTCGAGTCTATGAATATGTATGTATTTCCCTCGTCCATCTAGGTTCATTTAACTATAGGTTTAATTTGGCTGTATGCGCAGGAATATTCGCGAGCTTCAACAAGTAACCCCCGCGCTCGCTATTTACTACTCTTTTCACGCTGTATCCACGCTACCGTCACAGGCGAAGGAACCTATTCAGATACTTGGACCGGAAGCCGCTCTCAAGGAATTTCATGATCAGGGTTGTACACTGGCCACCAAGACTTGGGTTGACAATCACTGGGGTCTAATTCTCTGGAAGCTCGCCGGAATGGTCGCATTAGATCCGGATAGCGAATCTGATCCGGCAACTAAGCGCTGGTGTTGGGCAGAAGTGAAACGGCAACTACTATATCGGTATGCGCCCTTTCGCTCTCCAAACTTGGAAGTTCTGATTCTTTATAGATATGAACGTGAACTAAATCAAGCCAAGCGTCCTGCCCTGCGGTTGATTTCAACACAAGATGCACCAGCAGCCTGTCCACTAGCTCTATGCGTTTCAAACATTTTCTGGTTGGAATCCGGGAATAGCCTAGGGACAACGTATCCCGAATTGGAAGTTACGGAGGGGTGGTACCGTCTCAGGGCTAAAATCGATGCACCAATGGCCAGAGCAGTAAAAAAGGGTATAATAAAAATTGGGAGAAAAATTGGCGTCGCCGGCGCAAGGGTAAGTACATTCATTTATTCCTCGATGCCTTGTCTTGAGATGGGACCATAGCTTGATTCAGAGCGAAAAGATCCGCAAGAAATACTGGAGGCATATAACTCTGTCAAGCTGGTCCTTACCGGAAACTCGTCACATTTGTTACCCTGGGACGCAAAGCTAGGTTTCATGAGAGGCCCCTGTATCTCGACCATGCACTCCTTGACGCCAGACGGCGGAACTATTGCTGCCATGGACGTTGTGGTGACTAAGGTGAGTGACAAACGATCAAATTATTGCCCATGCTACTCATGCATTGCAGTCCCATGCACTTGGTTTCATTGAGTATTTCGTGGATACCAACGGCCGCCAGCGGAGAGAAGGACCGAGAGGCCAAGCTGAGGAGATGAAAATCAATGATGAATGGAAGGTCCGACCAATCATAGCTTATAAAGTCCTTCATATCATCTCAATTGACTCCATAGAAAAAACGTGAACGCGAAGCGTCAAAGCTCCAAACAGAACTCGAGAAGAAAATGTCAAGGTATGAATTATACATCGACAAGCTCGAACGCCGAGCAGGCCATCATTTTCATGCTCACCGAGATGGTACGTGATGCCTTTGTGGATAGGCCTCCAGAGCTGACCTCCGTGACCGCAGATGAACCCCCGGATCACATTGAGACACTTTACGATCAATTAGAGGAGCATGATGACGCTATGGCTATGTTGAGCCGCATTACACCGCAAGACGCTGGCTGGCTTGCGAAACATACGCATCGCTGCATGGAACTCGAACGCGAGCGCGCTGGGGACGAAATTGAGAGAGAACTGGAGGTATGGTTTCATTTCAAGTTATAATTAGCGGAGCAAGGTTAACCTGGTTTGCATAGGCAACATGTCCACCGAGAGATGTCCGCAATTTCCGAGTGATTGTCGTACAGGACTCCCAGACTTGCCGAAGACCCGCAAATAGATATGCTCAGCTCACGGTTTGGGACGTATTGAGTCTGACGCTCTCGGAAGGAGTCGAACCTGGGACAATCAAAACTGGTAGCCGATTCCTCGTAAGATTCCCTTGTTAATATTGAAGGTGGAGCGCCGCTTACACGTGGCTTATAGATCACAAATCTCATTCCCCAACAACAAAGCGCATGGATGGGCACCACCAAGCTCAAGTCACAAATCTTCTTGACGACGACACGTTCCTCAAAGTGGCGCATACTCAAATAACCCACGTGATTCCCTTTATATTCTAGTGTTTCTTGATTCATACTATATGCTGTGTACTATTCCTGTAATATAATAAGCCTCAAATGTACTCAGCAATCGTGTTGCGATATAATCAAGGGGTTTGATGGTTTATTAAGCAATACCATAAAATAAGCAAACACATAAGTAGCGTCTAATTACCCGCAGCAAGCCCATATTTCCGGAAGACTTCGTTGAAACTACCTGTGTCTTCATGGCCCATGGAGACCACAGTAGGCTTGCTACCCGAGTCGGGACCGAAAATCCTTGCTGCCACCTTGCGGATGCTGTGGCCATCGACTTCGTCAATCTTGTCTGTCATCTCGGAAATAGGAACCTTGCGCCCATGTACCAGGATCTGTATATATATGTCAGCCTGTGAACAAGAGAAGGGTATCAAAGGAGTATATACCTGACGACCCAGATCTTCCACCTCAACAGCCCGACTTTCCAAAGCCATCATCAAGCTCGACTTGAGCTGATTCTTAGCCCTATTAAGTTCGACCGAAGGGATGGCGGTATAGAGCAACAAGCTCAATTGATGAACAAGGTGAGGGAGGATTTGTCCCGGGGTATTGCCTCCTCTCAAACCAGATGCAGCGGGGAGGAAGGAGGCGAACAAGCCGAAGAGGGAGGAATCAGTGTAGATGTGGTGGAAAGATGCACAATGGTCGATTTGTGGGTAGTGGTTGAGGATGTGGGTGTAAAGGCGGGAGTACATGCCCTTTCCAGGACCACCTATTAAAGAGATTGTATTGAGGGGTAGTTGCATGAGAGCAATGGGTGGACGTACCTGCAGAGAAACTACCGCCTCCGCCAAGAAGAACCTGCATGGTTGCAAGGGCGTAGATATCGTCATCGTGAATGCCTACACCTTCATACGCAACATAGAGGTGGTTAAATTCGGCTTTGGGATCGTGGACAAAGTGGTGGCCGCCTGTGTATGTCGACGTAGGGCTCTTGGGAATTGCGGGAGAGCCAGTGGTGTTAGGGAAGAGGTAAGATGCGGCTCGTGTAAGGGACTTGGCAACAGAGGGTGTAGAAGAGTTAAGTAGGTGGGTGGGTATCGTGGGATTATTAGCGTTAGTTCGAGAGTTGGTAGACTGGGGTATGGTGGGTGATTTGAGGGAGGAGAAAAATTTGTCGGTGAGTTCGACGAGTTCTTCGTGATGCATGCCCGCTCCTGCGATTACCATACGCTCTGGTCGATACCATTCCTGCATTGTGGTGCGAAGTGTAAGCTCGTCAATGAGGTTGATTCGATCCTCAGGGCAGAGAAGAGGGTTTCCAAGTCCCTTCTCGCTGTAGGCGACATTGTGCAGAATTTCAGGAAGAATCATATCCGGCTTGGTACGGATCTCACGGACTTCATAGAACGCTGCGTCTCGTTGCGCCTCAATTTCTTCAGGATGGAACGAAGGATTGAGTACTGTGTCGGCGATGAGTGAAAGAGCGAGGGGTGTCGCTTGGTGGAAATGAGATGACTGGTACATGATGGATTCCCGAGAAGATGAGCACATGATTTGGCCTCCTAAAGAATGCACTGCAGTCGACATCTCTTCGTCTGTGCGAGTTCGTGTACTCTGTATATTTCGGTCAGAAGTTACAACTTTAGAAATCTATGGGGGAAAAACATACCTTGAAAGCCATGCGATCCAAGAAATGACTGGCCCCAGATACTTCCGGCCATTCGTACCTGGAACCTGCGTCGACGTATAGACCAACGGAAGAGAAATGACCGGGCGTAGCCTCTGTCGCGACACGAATTTTATTGGGGAGTGTCGTGACCTTCACAGTGGGTTCTGTAGCCTCCGTGGTGTAAGAACGAGGCTTCCCGAGTCTGGTTGCGATACGGCCATGACGAAGAAGGGAAGCGTTGACCTTGCGCATAGCGTTCGTATCGCCGCTTGGAAGTGACGGGGCTAAGAGAAATATGGAACACCCGAAAACTGGCCTATTACGTAGACGAGCGCTGGCGTGAACCCTACCTCGACCAATTTCACGCGCGATGAAACAAGTCCCAATAGCTAAGTGGTTATAGCATGCGATTGCAGTTTGGCTTCTTAGGAAGTACATCACTATCGCAGGGTCGGGTGTTCGAATCACCCTTGGGACTTTTTCTTTTTGTGTCCTGCTTCGGACCATCCGTTCCCCTCGGTTCATCCGAATAGCAATAATCGGCCAATTGATTTCTCCCTGCTCATGCAACGGAACGATCACCATGGCGTATTGCGAAAAAGGTCACCCAGAGGATCCTGCCTCTACCAGGGGCAGTGCATTTCCGGACCAGCATACTAGCCGAGGCACAGTCAGCACTGAGCAATGAAAATAGTGTGGGATGCCAATTGCTGCGATCTTCGTCGGACGACGAGTGGCGGGCGTGTAGCTCATACTTACGTGAACGATCATAATCCCTCACGAATATCCATCGATACTAATACCCTTCAAGCTTTCGAGTTAAATTTTGGCTGAGTAAAGCCTGAGCAAGACCAAGTATATTATTTCCTGCAGCAGCTAGTGGACATGGTTAGTGGAACACCTGGCTATGGAAACTGCGATCGCTGATGTCGGATAATCAAGTGGCAGAGCGGGCAATACGTCAATGTTTGGACGTTCATCACGAAGCTATGACATCTCGAGGCCCAAATAGCATAAGCGAGGGATTTTGTTCTATTCTGTAGTGCGGCCTGTTGCGGCGTCGGGTCAACAGTTCTAAAGATAAATTTTGTTCTCTAAGACATGGAGCCTGCGGGAGTTTTGAACCACGGGGTCTTAGGTGGATAATGAACACCACGTCCACATACCGCAATGAGCAATCATCGCCAGATACAACGAACGGAGGAGGAGGCTACAACGACGCGGGCACTCTAACCCTCTGCATTCCTCCGTCATCATGAGTTAACTACGTGCAAAACACGGTTCAAGAACAGCGCGGTCCCAGTCCTGTGCACGGCTTATTGTGTGGGTCTTGTTTACTGCGCAAATGCAGAAGAAATTAGCAGTCACTGGGCCGCGTGCTAAGATTGCGCGTATGATATTTAAGTAACAACTATGTTTCTGACCCCTTACCTACAACTTTCCACTCTTCCCCATCATGCCTGGATTCTCTACCATAGCGCCGTGGCTGAATAAGACAGGCTACTATGGTCCAGTTACATCTACCCTCGACTGGTGCGAGGTATGTTGACTTCAGGTATTCCATGAACCCAGCAATAACTCATGAGATCGACAGGCAAATTACCAATTCTCACCATACATTGCGGAGATGGCAAACTCCCTCTCGAATCTGTATACCATCGTCGTCTCCGTGATAGGCTACCTGAGTGTTGTGAAGCAAGGGCTACCGAAGCGGTATATACTAGGGTACCTGGTGAGCGAGGACTGTTTGGGTGTGGGTCTACCGCGGCGTTTCGATTACTTACCTTCTGAGTCCAGGGCATTGGTCTTGTTGGTATTGGTAGCTTCTTGTTCCATGCTACGCTCCTCTACGAAGCCCAACTGGCTGATGAGCTTCCGATGATTTACGTTGGTTCCATGAGCGTGTTCATTACCTTCGACGACGAACCTGGATTCGGTATCAAGTCATTGCGGACCAAGCTTCTACTCGGTTTCCTCCTGCTTTTCGATGCGTTTTTCACCTGGAGCTAGTGAGCGTCACACATACTTTCCTATCATTCATTATTTATATCTTATCTTTCACAGCTATCTTTACCGGAACCCAATATACCACCAAGTCGTATTCGCCATCTTTATCCTAATTACTGCCGGGCGTATTACCTATATCCTCAAATGGTCCGAAGCGGGCGAACGGATCCCCACTGATATTAAGCATACGATCGGGAAATTCTTTGGCACTGGTGCCTTACTGTTTGCTTTTGGATTTTTAATTTGGAACTTGGACAATATTTTCTGTGACTTTTTAATCACTCAGAAGTTGTCTTTGGGGTGGCCATCTGCATTCCTTCTTGAAGGTGCGCACACTGTCAGCCGCTCTGTGAGAAATGACGCTCAAGTTTTTATAGGTCATTCGTGGTGGCATATACTCACTGTACGTGGGTCCGTCTTCCGCAGGGTCTGTTGCTGATTTACTCTTCTTAGGGCCTTGGGACTTACTACATGTTCGTTGGTATCCAATGTGAGTGCCTTCATATTTATTTCCCCACGTTAAACACAATACTCACTTTAATATTAGATGCGTACGTTTGGCTGTCACCTTTCCCAATTCAACACTAACACCTATTACTCGCAGTACCTTGTGTGTCAAGGATGACTACTCAAATTATACCATTGGATGGGATCTCGGCCTACCCTACATCGAGCGCGTGTACTTGAAGAGGAAGAATTAGGTTCATATATGTAAATAGTATTCTATGTAGGAGTACTCTACAGTCCTTGTAAGACCAGTGTTGTTTGTAGAGTGCGTTTAGGCTCGAGATTCGGAATTAACATTAATAGGCTCTCCCACTGTCCACTTTGCAAAGTCTAATACTGCGACACCCTCATCGACAGAAGGTTGTGATATTAGGCACTTCTGCTTCCCCCACGCAACAAGAGCGTCCCGCACAGGTGCATCTGAGGAATCACCACCCAACATCATAAAGGGTTGGTTGTACAAAGCACCCTCACCATCCCCTTCAATACTATGTGTCTCGAATCCGACTATCTGACGCGCAAGGGCTCGTTCTAAGCGTCCCAGATCATCACGGAATGCTTCGGTAGCGAGAAGCTGCGGGAGACTTTTGGATTTCAGAGCAAGCAGTGCGAGAGCACCTATACGGCCTTGGTTTGGATCATTGATGGATCCATGGACATATGAAGCGAGTCGAAGACCAAGGTCCGTATTTTGGGCCGAATTCTCGACTACAGTGACAGCTCGGCGTAGTGTGATATTTTCTCCGAGTTTGGCGATAGCGTCGCGTATGGCGCTAGCGATGGTCCCAGATGGTGTGGCGCTGGGGTCGGCTCTGGACAACAGAGGCGCGTCTTGGAGAAGGTCGAGGGAGGATGGTTGGAAGGCAGCTTTTGAACCTGTCACGTCGGGTATATATGCAGCAGTATGGGCAATGTCTGCTGCTAGTCGCCCGAAGAGCTCGTTACGGCCTACGAAGTCAGTCTCGCAATTGAGCTCGATCATTGCAGCTCGAACGCCTCCATAGCCCGCCCCGCCCTTCACACCAACTCCGTTAGAGAGCACAGAGGTACTAATGAGACCCTGAGTTGTGCTCCTCCCCTGTACTCTTGCGGCTTTCTTGGCTCCTGTTGTAACGAGGTCTTTTTCGAGCCATTCGAGCGCGGCACTGACGTCGTTATTCGTTGCAGCAAGTGCTTCGCGAGCTTTTGAAATGGAAACTTCGGTGAGCTTGCGCAATTCCGTAACAAGCTTGACGGAAGCTTTTGCTGGTTGCTGTGTCGAGTAGCAACGCGATACGAGTCTAGCGGACTGGAGGCGGAGGAGGTTGAACATAGTGGACGCGACTGGTCGTTTGCTAACTGCAGAAACCCGGAATGACAAAAATCGTGACCGCGAATATCCGGGCCGGATCAAATGACGCCAGTCAAATTTATCCAACAGATAGTGGGAACGTTTGAACTCCTGATCATGGCCACGTTCAAGGTTCCCCAGACGTTACCTCAGGACCTTTTACTCATTAGTGAGTTCGTTAATCTACCGGAAGAGCAGAAGCAGAAACCTGCTGCGCTGGAGCAGGAAGATGATGTTGCGAGTTCGGGTAGCGAAAATGAAAGCGAAGAAGAAATTGAGAAAGACTTGACGGCTCTGCCGGATGACGAGGAAGGAGATGACAAAAAACCTATGTATGCCCCACCCGCCTACTCCATTCACTTCAACTATTTTATTAATTCATCGTTGTCCTACTCATTAGACCCTCGGACTTCAGTTCAAGTTCTGAAACAGACTCGTCAATTTCTGGCACCGAGTCAGAGGTTGAGGAGCAAATCCAAACTGTGAAACCAAAGGCACCAGTAGCTGATTTTGAAGACGACGAAGATCCGGTGTCAACCACAAATACCTATCCACAAACGAAAAATGAGGTTGTCGACGCTGCTGTCACAATCCCAGATCTGGAACAAGTAGAGGCGGACGAACAGCTTGAAAAGGTTGGGGAAATCATGTCAATCGTCGACAACGTTGTGATCATCAAAGGCCTGGCGTCTGGATATGCAAACCGGGGTTCCGCGAGTGCGCTCGATTCCGATACCCTGCTGGTGTTTGGGGACCGCAAAGTAATGGGCTATGTGCGTACCTTTGCCTTTTATCTGATGCTGCCCGTTGATGCGATCCCAGGTAGATATACGAGACGTTTGGACCAACTTCACAGCCTTTATACCAAGTCAGATTCAATCAGACGTTCCCCCTCGATTCAGGAAAAGTTCAAGTGGGGCGAGATGTCTTCCACGTACCTAGGCGAAGTCATTTCGTCTTTGTCAATCGACTCGAGCATTTCAAAGGCAGCGATGCTAGCAACGTGCATGATGAAGAGCCTGCTGATGATGAATTGGAGTTTTCGGACGACGAGGCAGAGGCAGCATATCGCAGTCGCTTGAAACGCAAGTATGTGCCTATTGCTCCCTTCACGCTTGGAATATTCTGACAGAAACAGACGAGCGGAATCTCGCACACGTTCGGTGTCCTCTTCGAGACAATCGACACCCACGCCGTCCCAAATGCGTGACCAGGATATGATGACCGAGTCGATACTCAGCAAGAGTGCGTACGATGAACATGGTCCGTATGACCTGGACTACGGTGCTAGCTCATCTCGCCCCGCACCTAAACCTTACGATGATCCTTACTCGGATGCATACAACACACCCAAACTAAAAGAGAGCATAGGAACCTCAGACTACCAGTTACGTATCGAAGCTGAACATACAAGACCTTCCGCTTCCGGCTCCAGTGGCAGAGGTCCCTCTCGTTCAGGCGATGGACGTGGTCGTGGAAGGGGACGTGGAAGAGGCAAACGTGGTACAAATGTCATGCGTGGATCCTTCGGCAGGGAGGATCACCGTGTTCCTTCCGATAACGGTCTTGGCAACGAAGAATATGACCCTCGAATGCCCTATGAATCGCCTCCTTCCCCCTATCTTCAGGAGCAA